CTAGCCAAAACCAATTTTTCCCAGCGTAGTTTGCCGAGCTACAACCTAATAAAGCCCCAACAATCCACTTTCAAGGCCGCCAGGCCTCAAATCCTAGTTCGGCGAACTAGGCCCAAAAACGATTTGGCCAGGAAAGAATCAGTCAGGTTGGGTGTGAAAGGGAAACCAACCAAACCATCACTACTTCAAGTTCCAAGGATCTTTTCCGTCCACAAGATCTGGCTGAATGGTCCGTCTCTGAGAGGCTCTGGGGCTAGGGAACACGCTTGGCCGAACGCGGTCCGTAGGTGTTGTTGGGCACTCATCATGGCTGGAGGGCCGCTTCATGGGGGGCACAACTAAAAGAACTTCAAAACTTCCCGACCTCGAAATTGGGCAGTGTTTTTTAGTGGTGTGGAGAGTGAGCAGGTGAGGCATGACTTCTTATTTTTTGCAAACTCGAGCCCGAAAACTCAAGCAAAACTCCAACTGACTGACATCCTCTTCCCCATGCAAATCCAGTCCTAGATCCAGTGCCCACGCCCGCCCGCGCCTCCAAAATCTCTGCCAGGACTGTGAAGTCGATGAAGTGTGTGTGTGTGTGATGTTAGTATGACCATATACCTTAATTTCAGCTTGCTCGTTAATTTCAGGTGACGTCGGTGACGTCGTTTTATATTGCCTAGATTGATGCAAAGGATCAGGGTTCTTTCCACCCATAGGATCGGGTGCTTAGATAAACACCATCCGATCACGGATGGGGGTCCAAGAAAACCCTCCGCAGCGGTGCGGTGCTGGTCGTTTCCAGCGAGTCGGACGGCGAACTGTTCCTAAAGACCCGACGTTGGATGGGGGGCGTCCCTAAAATGGTCCCAATCCCAATCCAGTCCGATTTTGTGGTGGTTTGGATGTTCAATGATCCCAATCCAGTTCCTAACATGTTCATTGGACTTTAGAACTCCTGCGATCATTTTGATTTTGGGTCAGAGTGAGGTGCTTTCCTTTTGAAAAAAATAGTGAGCATCAGCATATATGTGAACATCCTTGGATCAAGCAGAAGGTCAATTCTTAAGTCTTATATCCTTTCTTATCCACACACCAACGTCACAGACCATACCAACGACCACCTTGCACCAGTCACGTCCAGTCTTATATCCTTTCACATCCTTTTCAGATTGCAACATCTCCACGTTTCCCACCTGAATCGGATGTTCCCTACCCTCCTGATCTGCTAATGACCAACCGCGTCAGTCAGGTCGGCACCTGGTCCTGCTGCGGTCGGTGGGGCGTTTGCGCGGAGCGGCTGTCGCGTCCAAGGCTCACGACGTGGTAGGAAATGGCCAAGCCTGCCAGTCCGGTGACGGCAGCCAAAGACCACGCAGTCATGGTGCCGCCATCGCATTCCTTTTCGCACAGGCAGGAAGAGGCAGGAAGGACATGCTGGAGGGACGGGGGGGCAAACCAACGTGAACAGTGTGGGAGAGGGGTAAGGGTGAAGTTCGGGTGAAATGAATTCGTAGGGATGAATGGGTCACAAATCCAGGAGTGTTGGTATGCTTGAGCGCCCCCGGGAGAACACCACCATTGGTTTACTCTTCGGGAGGTTTCCCAACAAACGTATCAATGCCTCGCTTTAGGAGTTTCGAACGCCGCCGGAGGGAGGACCCCGGTGGCGGCATTTTGCAAGCTTCCAACCAAGCCGCCAGCTGAGTCCCTCAGTTTTAGCTCGTCGTTTTGGGAGGTAGTCCTGAACATGAAAGAATATGTGGGGTGCATGGTAAACATGCGATCTTGAAGAGTTGGTCGTGGATGGAAGAGGTCTTCAGGATCCAGAGCAAGCAGAGGCTTGTAGGCAAGCGGAGAGCAAACCTGAAAGCACCGTCACATCAGCATTCATAAGCGTCACCAGGATAAGCCAGGCTGACTTCTCATCCACAAAAAGAGCGAAGAAAGAACCCAGGACACCTTCAATCAACCTCTCCACGATATATGGGAGGGAATCTTCTCTGCGTTAGAAAAACGACAAAACCAAGCACACTTGGAAGCAAATTGAAGCAAAGGGCACCCTCCCCCACCCATGCCCACACTTGGTTTGTGGCATCGCATGAAACCTAGTCATGTAACCTCACAGAGTTCGCATAGCCTTGTTAAGCACATGATCAACTGGCAACGAGTGCCCAGGACCACGCATCTGCGCCCTCCCCACAATCCCATAATGTTCACTTTCCATCTTCCTGCGGCGAACTAAAGTGTGAGTGAGTGGCACACCTAGCAAGGGAGCTGCAGGGATCCGTATTAGCCATCACCCTTGCAACATGCCAAAAAAATCTGATCAAGGATTTTCACAGTTGGGTCGTATTTGCAGTTGAGCTCAACTTCTTCCGTCCCTCGTCCTCCCGTCTTGCAATCCGGGCGCCTCACAACGTGTCTCCTTCCAGGTCATCGCCATAGGGCACACCCCACAGGGGATGCCTTCCAGGCCGCCGGTACAGGTGCCAGGTCTACCACCAGGACAGAAGTTGGCTGGGGCGCACTTGTAGACCTTCATCGGCTCCTGCAGCTGCGCTGCGCACCAGAAAGTAAATGTCACCGCCTCCGAGCTTGTAATTTATGCCAACTGATTGCTCTTGACAGTCCCAAAGGTGCTCTGTCACTGCAACTGCCGGATCTTCACACTCCCCACTCCCCATCACTCCCCATCACTCCCCTCTCCTCCTCGCTCGCGAAGTAGCCAGCAGCAATCTGCGGCACAAAGTCCTCCCCTGCCGCAGAGGAGGCGCTTTGCAAGTTTGCAATGCTCGAGGAAGTCGGACAGTCCAGGCCCTCTCCGCACCTGGAGCAATTGAAGATCATCGGTGCCTGGAGAGGACCGAGGCAAGCATCGAAAGAACAAGAACGAAGGAAGGACCGAGGAACAGCAAAACCGAACATGACCATCAGAAGCCCCGCTTGAAAGAAAGACAAATATCCCAATAACACCTTTAGGATCCTTTAAACTCCTTGCTGTTTCCCTTGCTTCCTTCCTTGCTTGCTTGCTTGCTTGCCCAGTTGGTCGAATGAACCACCCGCCTCGGCCAGGTTGATGCTGCCAGACTTGCATCCACAGTCCTCCAAGGAGGAGGAGCCGACGCCCAGGGTGGTGGTTCCAGCCTGGGACCACAGTGAAGGCGGAAGAAACATCAGCCATGCCTCCACCCATTCCAGAATGCGTTTTATTTGGGGTGGTTTATCAGGGTTTATCAGGGTTTATAGTAGGTGTGTGGAACGGAACATGATCCACAGCTTGAGATGAAGGACTCGCCCTCCTTTTGAGCCATCCTGAGCCATCGTCGTCGCCCAATTCTCGGGACCAAACCGAGTTCCCTCTGTTCGAACACAAAAACCCACCATGTTCGATGGCAAAACCCACCAACAAAAATGCTCATGTTGAAGGAATACTTCCAGAAAGAGAGCTGAAGCACATGCACGGCACTGGACAGTCTTTGCAGTTGCTACTGCCATAGGCGTCCTGATAGGTCGCGAAAGGACAGCGTTTGCACGATAAACTGCCCGTTGTATCCTGGCGGGCAAGCTGCTGCAAAATGCCACCACATGCAAAACAAGCAAAGTTCGTTTAAAGACTGGGCGGAGACAACAAAGAGGCCTGAGGAATGCAAAGAGGCATGGACATGCCTCGTTTCAGCCTTGATCATGCAAACGTCAGTCATCATGCATCACTCCCGCCTGGTACTCCCCAGCTGCGCAAGGCAAGCAACTCAAAGAAGCCCCAGAAGCTTGCGAGCTGCCGATGGGGCACTCTTCACAAATGAAGGTCACCCCAGAGCCGTCTTCCAGTTCCTGGAAACCACCAAAAGCGGGAAGGAATTACCTGGGACCAAGACGTTAAAGCGTGACAGTGAAAAAAGAACCCCCCCTTTTATGTGATGCTGCAAGACTCTCTACGAGTACATGGGATGCTAAAAAGTCCATCAACCCAATAAGTATATATATATATATGTCCAGTATACACGCAAATATCAACCCTACAAACGTCTTCCCTCATAGACCCTACCTGCTTGCCTACCTGCTTGCCGCAGCTTGAGTTCTCTGTCCCAGCCATGCCCAACATCGTGTTTTTGTTTTTGTTTGTTCACAAGTTGATGCTCAATGACAACTAACTCTGTCCCAGGTGTGGCGTGTGGTGTTTTTCCTTGATCTCAAGACATCTCTTCCGACTGGCACGCCACTCCTTGGAGAAGAAACCTGAAGGGCAAGCCCTGCAAGTCAAGTGTGTAGGATCTGCACGCGTCTTGACAAACCGCTTGTCCAGTTCATGGAAGAGACCGAACTGCGCGAAGCACTTGCTCTTGTCAGGAATCCATGATTCCCAAAGCTCGCGATTCGCTTGAAGCCACCGACAGGCGATCTCGCGGTAGTCAGGAGCTGAGGCCTCCAGGCCGTCCACTAGCATGTCGTTCACAGCCCTGATGTCCAACAAATAGGCGTGCATCAGCTCTTCAGCATCCGGCGCCAGGACGCCCAAGTCCTGCGACCACGAGGTTTGGCGCGACGCCGAGTCGGCAGCACGCGCGGCAAACGAAAGGAAGACCGACCGAAAAGCTGCAAATCCCAGACACGACCCATGGGACTGCCGACTGCCGATCAGTTGGGGTGGTGCTAAGGGGGGTCAATGGGGCGGCAGTCCTATGGCAGTCCCCATGGAGTGTATGGGAATAGGAAAACGATTGGTCTTGCCGGGTGTTTCATCCACTATGATCCACTCACTTTGCGACCAAGTGAAGGGTGCCCCATGCAAACACCGGGTGTCACCCACCAAAGCAAAGCTAAAACAAATCCACGAAGACTTGCCAAGACTCACCAAAGCGGTTTAGCAAACCAACCACTGAGCCAAATCTTCAGAACAAACAGTCATCCATGGGCTAAGGCTCAGGGCTAAGGGGACCTCTGTATATGACTATCTGTTTCGGTGCTTTGTTTCAGCATGGGACCCTGGGTCGCCCATGGTCGCCCCGGTGACCCACCGGACGTGGTCCACCCGCTGTTTGGCCCGAGAGATGGTCCACCCGGGGGGGTCCTGGCTGACGTATTTATCGATGGGCGTGTCGGCGTTGGCCGAGGTTCGATCCCCTCGGGCCACCTGTCGTCGGTCGTGAGGCGGCCACATCATCTTCTTCGGATCGATCCTGGGACCGGACCGGGAAAGGGCGAAGCGGTCTTCCGGAAGGCGCGGAGAGGTGATGAAATGGGATTGCTGGCATAAACCCACAAATGCCAAAGCCCCCTGCTAATACCCCAAAGATCACAGAAAGCTAGCTAATGCTAGCTAATGCTAGCTATGTGATGTATTATTTAGCAATTAGCTTTATGTAAATTATATCATATTATGTAGCCATGTCAATAACACTGACAGGTTTCGGGGGTGACCTGGTGACCTGCTTAATTTTGAATGCCAAATGGAAGCATCATCGAGGACCAATCCCAATCATGATCCTATACAAGTAAGTTAAGTACCCCCAGCTCCTGTTCACCACAAAATGAGCTTCGAGGCCAAGGCAAACTCAAATGTGTGTTTTTCCGCAGGCAAATGTGTCTTCCGCAACAACTAAATAGCTATCGTGGGGGGTGCTCCTTCATCCGGCGGACACACTCCCCCCAACTTCATCGCCCTTCATCGCCTGAGGAAGGTGGGATCTGGTGTCCACCAATAGAAGGCGCTGGTATAATCAGAGGGCAAGCTGGCGTACTCCGACCAGTTCGCGGCAACACACAACGCCAAAGGCATGTTGTGCACCGCTCCCTTTTGCATAAACCTCAGCATAGATGGCATGGCGTGCGTAGATGGTAGATCTGGTAGATGGTGGCGCGCTTCGCTCAAAGGGATAAATGGTGACCTGTAGGTTGCTATGACTTGACATGTTCGTCATGGTTTGTGTTTGCTTTTCTGAGTGTTCAGAGTCACCTTGTTCTTGCAAATGCCAGGGGATCCATGATCCAGATACCACTATAGTTGGTAACCAGTGGTTCCAAAGACTAAAACCATAGACTTAGAATCCCTGGTTCCTTATAATATGGTTTGTTTGAAGCCAAGAGACTCTTCCAAAGACCAACCTGTACCACCGGACAGCACCAGCACGCACTCGGAGGAGTTGCCGCGACAGGCCGGCGAGTACCAGAAGTAGTCATCCATGCACTTGGCCCGATACTCGCCTGGGCCTGGGGGGAAGCTGCCAGGGCGTGAATCTGGTTGAACCTGGTAGTTCTACCAGCCGCCGCAGCATGCATGAAACACATGCACCTGGTGGTAAACATGTATACATCGATTGATTCGGGATAACCCTGATGATTGATGATGAAATCGACATTTGCTGACTTGTTCAACCCAAAACACCATGTTGACTACGAAGATTCATCAGAAACAGCAGCAATGAAGGTTATGAGAACCTCTGGGCCATGGGGCCTTAAATACCTTAGTGCTGCGCCACCAGGTCCTTGAACCCCCGACTTGGGCCCAGACCGCCGCGCTTCGGCCGTCCCCGACGTCCCCAGCCTTCCATCACCAGGCCGTCCCAGTCGCCTGGCGAACGTTCGCAGCTCCGGTTTCACCCACCCGGCAGAGTGACGGCCGCGTCGGCGGGACCGTGGTTTTTCGGTCGTCCAACGAAGCACCGGCCTCGGGCTTTCGTCGCCAGATGCCCAAAGCCAGTGGTCAAGGGAGAAACTTGGAAAACATGGTGCGTTCTTTCGTTCGCACCTAAGGGTCTGTGGTATACAGTGGTCGTCCTCAGTCACTAGGCCAGTCACTGGACACCGGAGACCCGAAAGCACAAAAAGACAACAAAGGCTCATTGCAGTCATGTGGCCCTTTCAACGAACCACTTGTATATATTATATACTCAAGCTATGTCTGATCACCGTGATTACAATAATGCATCCGAAAAAAATGACACATTCTCAGAGTGGTTCCTTGTCTTTTGGGACTAAATGGCAACCAAAAAACACCAAACAATCACCATCAACCCAAGCATCCTGCCGGATCCTGCCCTCCCCCTGAGCAGGCTCAACAACTGCGGCATCATTCACGGCCAGCCTGTCAACTCACCATAGACGCGCATCAGGCTCGAGACCCTTGCCAAGGTGGTATCTTCACAACGCATCAGTCGCGTCGTGTCCTGAAACGCGCGCATCGTCCAGATGCCAACGCGACTGTGGCGATGCCCGTGGCGTTGTGACACGGAGCAACAGGTCAAGTAAAGGGACCCTATGTTATTTGAAACAATTCGGAGAGGCTCATATATACTTGAGTGTGGACTGAACAAGAGAAGGTTTGAGGTATGACTGTGTTTTAAAAGAAATCTATTGTAACATAATGTTGTACAAACCCAAATATTGTCAGTTTCCCCTGCTTATTTATGACCTTAGATGCCGCCGAGCGTCCACATCTGATGCTGAACCAAAGTATTGCCACGGTCGGTTCCAGGAGACGTTGAAGTCCTAAAGCGCGAAGACCGGGCGCAAAACACGACGGTCATGGCAGCGGGTGGAATGCAATGGAACACGGCCGACCAGAAATCCATTCCGGAATGGCCAGGGCCAGGGTTTGATGACGATTGCTAGCAGGGCCAGGTGAGGAAACAAGAAAAAATCCAATCCCTCCTTCACAAAAATCAGTTTACAATGGAATACCATGAATGCTATAGGGTCATCTAGGGTCCAGAAGAACACCACCTAGGGCAGCCAACAGCAGGGAGCATTTCAACTTGCAAAGCAGAATGCAGGAGACACGGTATATAGAATTTAGAAATTTGAAGCCCCCAATGCCTCACTGACCCCGGTTGTAAAAAGTGTTTGATGTTGGGAAAGTCGCCAAGTGCAAGAGACTCGAATTAGTTTAGTTCGAAGGATACCCACTCTGAACGGCGATTTGGAGGAAGACATGGCACATGTATCCTGACAAACGCTGCGTCATTGACACAATGTTCTGACTGACACGTATCTGCTTTGGCAGATCATCTAGTATAAAGGCTGGGACATGTTCTGGAATTCGATCTGACATCCTTTCTGGCATGTGCTCTGGCATTTGTCCTGCAATCAAGTCTGATACAGTATGTGTTCTGACATACCTTCTGGAATGTAATTACTTGTGACAGGTGCTCTGGCATGAAATCTAGCATGAGTTCTGTCATGCGTTGTGATATATGGTCCGACTTCTGTTTGTCTGTTTGGATAGGTATTCTGACACTTGTTCTCTCATGTCAATGTGCTCTGGCACTTGCTTTGCTCCGACATGTTCCGACATGTGTCCTGCAACCTATTCCGACATTTGTTCTGTCATTATGTCTGACAAGTGTTCCAACATTTGTCCTGAGACGTGTTCTCTGGCATGTATTGCGGCATCTGTTCTGACATTTGTGCTCGCATAATGGGTTGTCATCTCCCATGATTTTGGCTTCCTCTGCAGCCCGGGAGAGAGAACACAACAGTCCAGCCACGAAAGTGTTCTGACAAGTGTTCTGAAGGTGGAGGAAGACGGCAGTGGCGGCACTGACATAATCCGGGCACCGGCCCCATGCACGTGTCTTCGCACCCCCTTATTTTGGCTTGGCCTTCCGACTTGTTCGTCTGTTTTTGAATGTTGTTGGGTTTCAAGTCGTTTTCAAAGGCCCATGGTGCAAGTTTCGCTGCCCGAGTTGCCCTGCATTCTCAGCACTTTGTGCTTCTGCTTCCTCTTGTCCTCTTATCCTCTTGTCTTCTTGTCCTCTTGTCCTCTTGTCCTCTTGTCTTCTTCTTCTTCTTCTTCTTCTTCTTCTTCTTCTTCTTCTTCTTC